TAATGGGAGCGGGGTCCTAAGAGCGGCCGTGATCTCTCCTAGCGCCCCCTACCGTGCCAAGTTGGTGTCAATGAACCCTCGTTCTCGCCCGCCACATCTTTGATGTTAAGAGTATTAAGGGAGGCTGCCTTTTATCCTCCTTGACATGGTACCCTTGACGTACTCCCGTCTGTGCCCCATCTAGGGTGACTCAGTGCCCTAAAGCCTTCAGGGCTACGCGTGGCTCCTACCACCCCTGATACCATGCCCCAAGCTTCTCAGATGTACCAGACATTGTCTTGTCAATTACTGTTGCCTGCACCCTCATGGCGCCCCCTTGCTTGCCTTGCTATAGCCTGCGCCCTCGCGGACGCCCTTTGGACTCGTCTCAGTCGCCCGCACTGGGGCCTTTCTCCGCACTCCTCGCAGACACTCTCTGGCCTTTCTCGCAGCTGTGCCCACACCCGGGCTCTCTCTCACAATCCCGCCCGCTCTGGGCTGCTGTCTCACAATCAGGGCTCAGGTGGCCGTAGCCGTGCCTGGCCCCAAATTCCCCTCTTGGCTCTTAAGTGTGCGCCCTTCCTGGGGCTCCTAGTCTGTGCGCCCTCCCTGGGGCATCTCCGCGCTTGGGGCTCAGGTGGCCGTAGCCGTACCTGGCCCCTAAATCCCCTCCTTGAGTCTACGACTCCTGTGGGGCTCAGGCAGCCTCAACCTTACCTGGCCCCCAAGGCACTGTGCCCCTTCTCAGGGCTGGGGCAGTGCACCCCTCAATGCTGTGGCCTCTCTGGCACCGGGGTCCCCACACCGCTGTGGAGCCCTTATGAGGCCTCCTCCAACCCCTATTAGTCTCACCTGGTCCTCTGGTGTAACAACAAAGCAATATCATAAGCCAATCGGCTACAACTCAAAACTAAGCCTCCTGGCTAAAACACAATCTGTAAGCCGCCCGGCTGATCATCATTCAAATCCCTACCAGGGCTTTCTCCACCCAGTCCTCCAACTGAAGCTGTTCAAGCCATCAAGCTTCTCTAAGCTGCCTACTCCAGCAGAGCTCCTTCTCCCTTGGATGTTAGTGGGGAACTGTCCCCTTGGCCTCAGCCTGGCTTGTTTATATAGGCCAGGCCCTGCCCCCTTCCAGTCAGCTGACTGAACTGCGGTTGCCCCAGCAACCGGCACCTGTACCATTTCCTAGGAGCAGGGCACCTCAGTGCACTGCAACACCTGCTTAACAAAAAGGCGGCGTACACCCCGTGGAAGGGGGGTGCTATCTCCAAAGAGGAGTATACCTCCTCTGCTCGGGCCTGTAGGGGGGCTGTCAGGAAAGCTAAGGTGGACATAGAGCTAGGACTAGCGTCCAAGATCAAGGATAATAAAAAGTCCTTTTTCAAATATATAGGGAGGATGAAGAAGGCACCAGGTAATGTGGGGCCCCTGCAAAGT